GAGGGGGCGGCGGTCAGACATTTGTGACGATGTGTGACGGGGGGGCGGGGGAGGGGGGTTGAGAAATGTGACGTCACATCAAAATGCGCAACTTTAAATAAATATAGACAACGTGTTCTAATTAATTAACTTTACTTTTTATGAAATGTTTTCTCCTACAGCATGATTTTTTTTTGTTTGGCGGGGGGGGGGCAGAGCTTCGTGATGTCATATTTGAGGGGGGGTCTGACTTTTGTGACGCAATGTGACGAAGGGGGGGGGGGTAAAAAATCGTCCAAAATCGCGTGACGTCATTTATGGACGGTCCCATAGGTGCTACTCGCTCACAGCACTTGCCCCTACGGCCTGGCAAAGCTATACGGGGCGATCTTTGTCCGTGTGCGCGTGTGGAAACATCGCCACCGAGGAGGCAAATGCGGTCGGGCGTGGTGCTGGCCACCCACCCCCTCGTGTGCCAGGGTGCTGCTATTGGGTGTGGAGATAGAGGGGGGGTACAGAGAGGGGGTAGAGAGAGAGGGGGTAGAGAGAGAGGGGGTAGAGAGAGGGGGTAGATAGAGAGAGGGCGGAGGGGGAGAGAGGGGGTAGAGAGAGAGGGGGTAGAGAGAGGGGGTAGAGAGAGAGGGGGTAGAGAGAGAGAGGGGGTAGAGAGAGGGGGTAGAGAGAGATGGGGGGTAGAGAGAGAGGGGGTAGAGAGAGGTGGTAGAGAGAGGGGGGGTAGAGATAGAGAGGGGGTAGAGAGAGGGGGTAGAGAGAGAGGGGGTAGAGAGATAGGGGGGGTAGAGAGAGGGGGTAGAGAGAGTGAGGGGTAGAGAGAGGGGGGGTAGAGAGAGAGAGGGGCAGAGAGAGGGGGTAGAGAGAGAGGGGTGGGGTAGAGAGAGGGGGTAGAGAGAGAGAGGGGGTAGAGAGAGGGGGTAGATAGAGAAAAGGAGGTAGAGAGAGGGGGTAGAGAGAGAGAGAGAGGGAGGGGGTAGAGAGAGGAGGTAGAGAGAGGGGGTAGAGAGAGAGAGGGGGTAGAGAGAGAGAGAGAGGTAAGAAGAAAGAGAGCAGAGCGTGACATATTTATGAAATATTTCATTTAAAGGGGGGGGGGGGGAGCACAGAAAGCAAAGCGTTTGAAAAACAAAAAAAATGTTGAACGAAGCAAAGTGCCGACTACACCGATCATCTTCTTGTTTCCTCTGATCATAAAAAAGAAGAGAGATAAGGGGCCGTCCATAAATGACGTCACGCGATTTTGGACGATTTTTGCCCCCTCCCCATTCGTCACACGGCGTCACAAAAAGTCAGACCCCCCCTCAAATATGACGTCACAAAGCTCTGCCCCCCTCCTCCCCCCCCCCCCCAAAAAAAAAAAAAACATGCTTAAAATCGCTTTTAAACTATTGTTGTCATTGTAGTGCGTATTTAATGTGGCGCTGCACTCTGATGTTGTAGGAGAAAACATTTATTTTAAAAAAGTCTATTTAATTAAGTAGAACGTGTTGTCTATATTTATTTATAAAGTTGCGCATTTTGACACGACCCCCTCTTCCTCTCTCGTCACACATCGTCACAAATGTCTGACCACCCCCCCCCCAAATCCCCCCTAGGTGCGTGGCGTCATTTATGGACGGCCCCTAACCACGTGGACGGGTAGAGAAAGAAGGGATCGCGCTCCTCTGAATCACAGTGCTCTGATGCCCCTAGTGGAACACGATCGTGATTTCGAGAGACGCTCCTTGCGACGCATACGCAAGTCAAAAGACACGCGTTAAACACCCGCAGGATTTCCTCGGGCCAATATATAATCCATGTAATCACAAGCCGGTTAGCGCTGAACTATGTAGCTCATTAGTTAAACGCGTAGCAGCAGTGGTGGGGCTTTTTCGCTACCTGTGTCCTTCGTAATAGATGTGTGTGTGTGTTTTTTTATTATTATTTGGAGGGGAGGGATTGGGAGAGGAGAGGGAGGTGGTGAGATGGCGTGATTGTATACACCGCAACGGGACGATCAGCACGGAACGATGAGCGAAGGGGGAGTTTGTCTCGTGCAGCAACAACAACAACAAAAACAACGCGTTGGCCAATTCGTCACTCGGTGGTACATCACCACGAGGTTTTGTGTTTGGAGAGCGAACCCCGCAAATAGGCGTAACTCGCCGCCACGTTTTGTTTACGTGCAACAAAATCATCGCTGACAATTGGCCCTGCGGTGGGGTGGTGGTGGTGGTGGGTGGTGGGTGAGTGGGTGGTGGGGAGGTTTAACGCGATCGAAACCCAAACAAAAATCAAATCTAACGTTTCCGCGTGTCTAAGCGGTACGTGGGTGGTCAAGATGTCTTGTGACCCCCCCACCCACCCCCCGCGCCGGATTAATTAACCCTCAACGTTATTTTTTGTTGCGCTTTGCATATTATGATTTCTGTTTTTTTTTTTAATAAACCTTATTTTAATAGGCTGGGATGCGCAGTCTGAGCGATGATCGGATCGGCCGAATCGTTGCCTGCAACTGCTTCGTCCCGCGCAGCGACTGTCGATCTTCGCAGCAACTCCGTTGTTCCACAACTAAAAGGTGATGAAAATGACGAAAATAAATCGTGTCCAGGTGTCTTGTGACAACCTCCCCCCCCCCCCCACAAGCCACCCCCTTCGCTTAAAAAAAAAAGTTGAGATGAATAAACGGGCCGTCGCGAGAGACGCTCGATCCGTCTGGTTCTGCAGCAACAAAAATTCAAATCGAATCTGCCTGATTTGTCGCGAGACCTCGAAACGTCGTCTGCCCACTGCTCTGTCCAGCACCGCGTAGCGAGAAGTTGCGCAGCGAAAGGGGGACGATCCCCAAGGCAACTCTCGCTGGCGAAGAACCAGCGGCAAGTTTCAAGCGGGGGACGATGATCACCCCGTGTTGCCCACCATCGGGAACTATTTTTTTTTGGGGGGTGGGACAAGTGCCGTTGGTGAGTAGCACTCACTACAGCGGGTCGGGTGGCCAGCACCCCCCCCCCCCCGGGCCCCGACCGCCTTTGTCTCCCTAGTGGCGATTTTACACGCCCCACCCCCACCCACCCCCCGCCACCACCACCACCACCCACATCTAGGTACTCATTCGACAACTGAAACTAATGAAATGACGAAAATGAACGGTGCATCTGTTACATATCCGTATCTTCTTTGGTTCTTTCGGTAAAGTCACCACGTAGAATGAGAATAAAATAATAACTTGATAAAATAAAATAACACAATAAAATTCTCACGACGTTTCGGCCAAAACACAAGCGGCCTTCATCAGGTGAAGGGACGAGACTGACTGTCTGGAGGACAGCGCTGGAGCGAACACAGCCAAGCTCCAGACAGTCTCGTCCCTTCACCTGATGAAGGCCGCTTGCGTTGTGGCCGAAACGTCGTGAGAATTTTATTGTGTTATTTTATTTTATCAATTTATTGTTTTATTCTCAATCTACGTGACTTTACCGAAAGAACCAAAGAAGATGAATCCTTGCAGTCACGAAAGCTTTAAATCGAAATATATCCGTATCTCTTCACGAAATATCTACACACACACAAGCCTAAAGATGGGCAGTTTCGCGAGCATTGGTTCATGCGAGCCTGACCTCTACTGCTGCTGCTGATGATGATGATGGAGACGCTGAAAGTCAAAACCGGACCGGAGAGTTTGCTGGCCTTGAACAAAACGAAGATTGATTTGATTTTTTTTAATGCGCTCCCAGAATGTCCGTGCGTGCTTTGGACGAGTTAAAAAATTAACTTAACTTGACTCACAATCCTCACCACGTACCCATCGTAATTATTAATATTCTCCATAACAAAAACAACATCGTTATGATCATCATCATGATGCTGATGATGATGATCATCATGATGCTGATGATCAGCATCATGATGATGATGATCATTATCTTGATCATGGTGATGATGATCATCATCATGATGATGATGATCATCATCATCATGATGATCATCATTATCATCATGATGATGGTGATGATGATCATCATGATGATGATCAGCATCATCATGATGATTATGATGATAATGATGATCATCATGATGATGATTAGCATCGTGATTATGATGATGATAATGATGATCATCATCATGATGATGATTGTTCTGGAGCTTTTAAGCCACATTTGTAAGTTCAATCTTGAAAAGAAACAAAAAATTCGGCCCGATAATCATCCGGGGATCGTTCAAACTCCACGGGATATCCGTGACAGCTCGCGGAGCAGCCGTGCGACGCTTTTGCTTGATTCCCCTCGTTTCAAAGAGCGCCCGCGCGTTTGTGTTGTTGTTGTTGATAGCGCTGGGTCGCTTTTGTGGTGGTGGTCGTGATGGTAGATGGGAGCAGGGAGGTGGTGGTGCTGGTGGTGGTGGTGGTGGAGGAGGAGGTGGTGGTGGAGGAGGAGTTGGTGATGATGGAGGAGGAGGTGATGGTGGTGGACGTGGTGTAGGAGGAGGTGGTGGAAGTGGTGGAGGAGGCGGTGATGGTGAAGGAGGAGGTGGTGGAGGTGGTGGAGGAGGTGCTGATGGTGGAGGAGGTGCTGATGGTGGAGGAGGAGGTGGTGGTGGCGGTGGTGGAGGTGGTGGTGGTGGTGGTGAAGGAGGTGGTGGTGGTTGTGGTGGAGGTGGTCGTGGTGGTGGTGGTGGTGGTGGTGGAGGAGGTGGTGGTGGAGGTGGTCGAGGTGATGGTGGAGGTGGTGGAGGTGGAGGAGGAGGAGGTGGTGGTGGTGGTGGAGGAGGTGGTGGAGGAGGAGGTGGTGGTGGTGGTGGAGGAGGAGGAGGTGGTGGTGGTGCAGGGTAGGATGATGATGCAGAGGAGGAGGGGCAGGCTGAGAAATCGGTGGTGGTGGTGATGATGTAGGCACGCAAATGCAATGAATGGGCGAGACGGGAGAGAGAGGAGAGAGGGTGGAGATGGGAGAGAGGGTGGAGATGGGAGAGAGAGGGGGGGAGGGAGGTGAGGGGAGGAGCGACAGAAAGAGAGAGAGAGAGGCGGAGAGGCAGAGCAGAGCGAGCGAGTGAGTGCAGCTCAGTTGCGCCCGTGCGTACGACACGGAACTTTGTCGCTGCTGAGAACACGGCGTGCGGTAGCGGTGGTGGTTGGTGGGGTGTGCGGAGAGGGAGTGCCTACGGAATCCTGATGATTCGCAATGAAGGCGAGGCACGCGGCGGTGGTGTTGCTGGCGGTGGTTGTTGGTGGTGAGTGACGCCAATTTTCGTGGTTCCGCTGCGCATTTAAAAGAAGAAGAAGAAGAAGCAGCAGCAGAAAGACGAGGGGGGGAGGGGGGGGGGCGATGTGGTAAGCAGCAGACAGAGAGAGAGAAGAGAAGAGATTAGGAGAAGATACTGATAGAGGACACAGCATTGGGAGTAGTAGCTGCATCATCATCAGCAGCAGCAGCAGCATCATCAGCAGCAGTTGCAGCAGCAGCATCGTCAGCAGGAGGAAGACGAGAGATTTTGGAACAAGCGAGAGAGAGAGAGACGGATAATAGTTCGAGTGGAGCAGCGAAAATCATCATCAGCCGCGACAATCATCAGCAGCAGTAGCATCAGCGTCAGGATTATCATCAGCGACAGCGGCATTATTAGCAGCATCAGCAGCAGCAACAGCAGTATCAGCAGAAGCGGCATCAGCCGGATCAACATCAGCATCAATCGTCAGCGCCTCTTCACTCCATCATCATCATCAGCAGCATCGCCACGCCTTTCCTCGTGGTCATTGTCTCTAAGCCCCAGCATCATCATCAGCAGCATCATCATCATCATGATCGTTGACACACCTCCACAATCATCACCACAGCCTCTGTACTTTCAGCAGCAATATCAGCAGCAATATCAACAGCAGCAGCAATATCATCAGCAGCAGCAATATCATAATCATCATCAGCAGCAGCAATGTCAGCAGCAGCAACGTGGGAATAGCAGGAGCATATCTACGTTAGTTTCTGTGTGAGTCTCTGTGAGTAGCGAGTCGCTGTGGGTAGTGAGTCGCTGCAAGTGGTGAGTAGCTGTAAGTGGTGAGTAGCTGTGAGTGCGTTTCTGCGACTCTCTGCGAGCGAGTTTCTGTGAGTCGCTGTGAGTGATTGAGCCTCTGTGAGTCGCTGTGAGTGAGTCTCTGTGAGTGATTGAGCCTCTGTGAGTCTCTGTGAGTGAGTCTCTGTGAGTGAGTGAGTCTCAGTGAGTGAGTGAGTCTCTGTGAGTCTCTGTGAGTGAGTCTCTGTGAGTGAGTAGCTGTGAGTGAGTGAGTCTCTGTGAGTGAGTCGCTGTGAGCCTCTGTGAGTGAGTCTCTGTGAGTGAGTCTCTGTGAGTGAGTCGCTGTGACCCTCTGCGAGTGAGTCTCTGTGAGTGAGTCTCTGTGAGTGATTGAGCCTCTGTGAATCTCTGTGAGTGAGTCTCTGTGAGTGAGTGAGGCTCTGTGAGTCTCTGTGAGTGAGTCTCTGTGAGTGAGTGAGTCTGTGAGTCTCTGTGAGTCTCTGTGAGTGAGTCTCTGTGAGTGAGTGAGTCTCTGTGAGTGAGTCTCTGTGAGTGATTGAGCCTCTGTGAGTGAGTGAGTGAGTCTCTGTGAGTCTCTGTGAGTGAGTCTCTGTGAGTCTCTGTGAGTGAGTCTCTGTGAGTCTCTGTGAGTGTGTCTCTGTGAGTGAGTGAGTCGATGTGAGTCTCTGTGAGTGAGTCTCTGTGAGTGAGTCTCTGTGAGTGAGTCTCTGTGAGTGAGTCGCTGTGAGTCTCTGTGAGTCTCTGTGAGTGAGTGAGTCTCTGTGAGTCTCTGTGAGTGAGTCTCTGTGAGTGAGTGAGTCTCTGTGAATGAGTATCTGTGTGAGTGAGTCTCTGTGAGGCTCTGTGAGTGAGTGAGTCTCTGTGAGTCTCTGTGAGTCTCTGTGAGTGAGTCTCTGTGAGTGAGTCTCTGTGAGTGATTGAGCCTCTGTGAGTGAGTGAGTGAGTCTCTGTGAGTCTCTGTGAGTCTCTGTGAGTGAGTCTCTGTGAGTGAGTCTCTGTGAGTGAGTCTCTGTGAGTGAGTCTCTGTGAGTCTCTGTGAGTGAGTCTCTGTGAGTTAGTGAGTCGCTGTGAGTCTCTGTGAGGGAGTGAGTGAGTCTCTGTGAATGAGTCTCTGTGAATGAGTCTCTGTGAGTGAGTCTCTGTGAGTCTCTGTGAGTGAGTGAGTCATTGTGAGTCATTGTGAGTCTCTGTGAGTCTCTGAGTGAGTCTCTGTGAGTGAGTCTCTGTGAGTGAGTGAGTCTCTGTGAGTGAGTCTCTGTGAGTGAGTCTCTGTGAGTGAGTGAGTCTCTGTGAGTGAGTCTCTGTGAGTGAGTGAGCCTCTGTGAGTGAGTCTCTGTGAGTGAGTGTGTCTCTGTGAGTCTCTGTGAGTGAGTCTCTGTGAGTGAGTGAGTCGCTGTGAGTCTCTGTGAGTTTCTGTGAGTGAGTCGCTGTGAGTCTCTGTGAATGAGTCTCTGTGAGTCTCTGTGAGTGAGTCTCTGTGAGTGAGTGAGTCGCTGTGAGTCTCTGTGAGTCTCTGTGAATGAGTCTCTGTGAGTCTCTGTGAATGAGTCTCTGTGAGTCTCTGTGAATGAGTCTCTGTGAGTCTCTGTGAATGAGTCTCTGTGAGTGAGTATCTGTGAGTGAGTCGCTGTGAGTCTCTGTGAGTCTCTGTGAGTGAGTCTCTGTGAGTGAGTGAGTGAGTGCGTGAGTCGCTGTGAGTCTCTGTGAGTGAGTGAGTCGCTGTGAGTTTCTGTGAGGGAGTGAGTGAGTCTCTGTGAGTGAGTCTCTGTGAGTGAGTCTCTGTGAGTGAGTGAGTCTCTGTGAGTGAGTGAGTGAGTCGCTGTGAGTCTCTGTGAGTCTCTGTCAGTGGGTCGCTGTGAGTGAGTGAGTCGCTGTGAGTGAGTAAGTCTCTGTGAGTGATTGAGCCTCTGTGAGTGAGTGAGTATCTGTGAGTCTCTGTGAGTCTCTGTGAATGAGTCTCTGTGAGTGAATCGCTGTGAGTGAGTGTGCCTCTGTGAGTGAGCCTCTGTGAGTTTCTGTGAGTGAGTCTCTGTGAGTCTCTGTGAGTGAGTCTCTGTGAGTGAGTCTCTGTGAGTGAGCCTATGTGAGTCTCTGTGAGTCTCTGTGAGTGAGTCTCTGTGAGTGAGTGAGTCTCTGAGTCTATGTGAGTGTGTCTCTGTGAATGAGTCTCTGTGAGTGAGTCTCAGTGAGTGAGTGAGTCTCTGTGAGTCTTTGTGAGTGAGTAGGTGAGTCTCACTGAGTCGCTGTAAGTGAGTGAGTCGCTGTGAGTGAGTGAGTGAGTCGCTCTCCCCTTCTTGCACGGTAACAATTTCCCAAAATCACCTCTCCCATTCCCTTCTCTCTCCATCTCTCTCCATCTCTCTTCATCTCTCTTCACCTCTCAATCTCTCTCCCTTCTCTCTCCAACTCTCAATCTCTCTCCCTTCTCTCTCCATCTCTCTCCATCTCTCAATCTGTCTCCTTTCTCTCTCCATCTCTCAATCTCTCTCCATCTCTCTCCATCTCTCAATCTCTCTCCATTCTCTCTCCATCTCTCAATCTCTCTCCATCTCTCTCCCTTCTCTCTCCATCTCTCTCCATCTCTCTCCATCTCTCAATCTCTCTCCCATCTTTCTCCATCTCTCTCCATCTCTCTCCGTCTCTCCATTCTCTCTGCCAAAGATTATCGTCTCCGCTCTCTCTCCCCTCTCACCCCCGTCTCCCCTGCCTCTCCCTCTCCTCTCGGCTCTGCGTTAACTCAACTCTCAGCTCTCCCCCTCTGCTCCCCAATTCCTTTCGCCTCTCTTTCGCGTTCTCTGTTTTATAGCTTAACCTCTCTCCACTCTCTCCACTCTAATCGACTCCCCGGTCACTATCATTTATCTCTTTCCTACTCGACCTCATCTCTCTCTCTTTCCACTCTGCTCCATCTTTCTGCCGTTTCCTCCGCGCTCCGCTCACACCGCTCACTCCCTTCACCCTGAACAATCCGTTACCTTCACCCTGAACAATCCGTGACCTTCACCCTGAACAATCCTCTATCTACACCCTGAACCCTCCTCTACCTACACCCTGAACCCTCCGCTACCTACACCCTGAACACTCCTCTAACTACACCCTGAACACTCCTCTAACTACACCCTGAACCCTCCTCCACCTACACCCTGAACCCTCCACTACCTATACCCTGAACCCTCCGCCACCTACACCCTGAACCCTCCTCCACCTACACCCTGAACCCTCCGCTACCTACACCCTGAACCCTTCTCTACCTACACCCTGAACCCTCCTCTACCTACACCCTGAATCCTCTTCTACCTACACCCTGAACCCTCCTCCACCTACACCCTGAACCCTCCTCCACCTACACCCTGAACCCTCCGCTACCTACACCCTGAACCCTCCTCTAACTACACCCTGAACCCTCCGCTACCTACACCCTGAACCCTCCTCTACCTACACCCTGAACCCTCCGCTCCCTTCACTCCGAACTCTCCGCTGAACTCGCCCTTCTCCGATCTGCCATCTCGCCGCGCGCTCTGCTATCTCCTCTCTCGAACCAATTGTAAATCTCTCCCTCTCTGTCCCTCTCTTCCTATCTCATCTCTCATCTCTCCCTACTCTCGTCTCGTGCATCCCACGCCATTCTCTCCAGTCGTGTCTCATCTCACTCACCTCCTCTCCGCATCTCTCTCTCTCTATCTTCCACTTCCTCCAACTCCCTTTCAATAATCTTCTCACTCCTCTACGCATTTCTCTCACCAATCTCACATACACTATTCTCCCTACGTATCTCTCTCATATCACTCCGCTACTCTCCCTCCCCCCTCTCTCCATCTCTCCCCCCTCTCTCTCTCCCCCCTCGTCCACGCTCCCCTTCACTCTCCCATATCTCCCCTCTCTCCTCCTCCGCTCACCTCCACATCCTCACATCTCTCTCTGTCTCTCTCTCTCTCTAACATCACTCTCCCCATTTCTCAATATCAACACTCTATCCCTCTCTCTCTCTCTCTCCCAACAACAACAACAACCACCAACCACCACCGCAACTCCATCGCTCGTTCGCTCTCCGCGAGGCTCGCAGTCATGCGGAGCCGCTGGCCCTGCCCCCGCAGCTGCCCTCCCGAGGCGAGCCATGCTGCCCTTTAGCGGCCGCGCCGACTCACTGCCCCTGCAGAGGGCAGCGTCGCAGCGTCCGGCCACCCGGCGAGTTATGCTCGCGCTGGTTTGCGCCCTGCTGCTCTGCTTCTACGCGTGCCTCCATCGGCCGGGCCAGGCGTGCTGTCAACACAGTCCGGTCTACAGGGCAGCAGCAGAAGCAGAAGCATCGGCAGCAGCAGCAGTGGCATCGGCAGGAAGGGTTTCGTCATTGTCGTTATCATCAGCGGCGGCGGCGGCGGCGGCCAAAGGAGCGATAGTCAAAGGCATAGCAGATTTGCCAATATCATCATCATCATCATCAGCGCAGGAGGACTACTCTTACTATTACTACAACAGTGTAGGAGGCGGCAACAAGAACGACGATGATGATGAAACCGGTGACGAGGGAGACAGCTCGAACAACAACAACTACGACTACAACAACAACTACTACTACAACGAGGAGGAGGAGGACCAGGGTGATGGTGGTGATGATGGTGATGGTGATGATGATGTTGGTGGTGGAGGAGGAGGAGGAGGCTCCTTGGCCGAGCGCACGCGAACAATCGTCGAGAAGAAGACGCGACCCGCTCCGAGGTCGAACTCTGTCGGACTGGTGCTACCTTGGAGGTCAAGAAGGCAGGAGCAGGAGCAGCAGCAGCAGGAGCAGCAGCAGCAGGAGGAGGAGGAGCAGGAGGCTGACATGGGTGTCGTCCGAATCGCGGCGGCTGAGGCTGTGGACACGGCGGCGAACGAGGAGGCGGAGCAGGAGGAGGAGGGTGGAGACGAGGTGCCGGAGGATGACGACGACCCCAGACCGAGGGACGGCGCTCGCTCGCTCCAGCAGACGGCGCCGCGACGAGGTGGAGGTGGAGGAGGTGGTGGTGGAGGAGACGACTACCGGGGGAAGCCGTCGCCCGACGTTTCGGAGCGCGCTAACCTGTCGACGGCGAGCGGCCCCGGCGAGAGGCGCTTGCCCCAGGCCATCATCATCGGCGTGAAGAAGGGGGGCACCAGGGCCCTGCTCGAGTTCCTGAGGCTCCATCCGGACGTGCGAGCCGTGGGCTCGGAGCCCCACTTCTTCGACCGCCACTACCAGCGGGGTCTCGACTGGTACAGGTGAGCGGGGTCTCGACTGGTACAGGTGAGCGGGGTCTCGAGTGGTACAGGTGAGCGGGGTCTCGAGTGGTACAGGTGAGCGGGGTCTCGAGTGGTACAGGTGAGCGGGGTCTCGACTGGTACAGGTGAGCGGGGTCTCGAGTGGTACAGGTGAGCGGGGTCTCGAGTGGTACAGGTGAGCGGGGTCTCGACTGGTACAGGTGAGCGGGGTCTCGACTGGTACACGTGAGCGGGGTCTCGACTGGTACAGGTGAGCGGGGCCACGCGGGGAGCGGTGGCGCAGCGGTTAGCGCTACGCTGCGCCACGAACCCGGCGACCCGGGTTCGATTCCCGCTCACAGCCAACACCCAGTGACGATTGTCTGAACCGGTCCCGGGCCTCCCCTAGGTCGACTCAGCCTTAAATGAGTACCTGGTGTAGCAGTGTAGTAAACATCGCCACTGGGGAGACAAAGGCGGTCGGGCGGTGTGTTGGCCACCCACCCACTCGTGATGCCGTGCCGGCCTTCATAGGTGCTCGCTAACAGCACTTGCCCCAACAGTCTGTTAAGGCTATACGGGGGATCTTTGTCTTTTGCGTCTGTGTGTGTGTCTGTGTGTGTCTCTGTGTGTGTGTTTCTGTTTGTGTGTCTCTCTCTGTCTGTGTCTCTGTGTCTCTCTCTCTGTCTGTGTCTTTGTGTCTCTCTCTGTCTGTGTCTTTGTGTCTCTCTGTCTGTGTCTCTGTGTGTCTCTCTCAGCCTCTCTGTGTCTCTGTTTCTCTCTGTCTCTGTGTGTTTATGTGTGTGTCTCTCTCTCTCTCTGTCTCTCTGTCTGTGTCTCTGTGTGTCTCTGTGTGTGTGTCTCTCTCTCTGTCTCTCTCTTTATCTCTCTGTCTCTGTGTGTGTATCTCTCTCTGTCTCTCTCTGTGTCTGTGTGTCTCTCTCTGTCGGTCTCTCTGTGTCTCTCTGTGTCTCTCTCTGTATCTCTGTGTGTCTCTGTCTCTCTGTCTGTCTCTGTGTTTGTCTTTCTCTCTCTGTGTCTCTCTCTGTGTCTCTGTGTGTCGCTGTCTCTCTGTCTGTCTCTGTGTTTGTCTTTCTCTCTCTGTGTCTCTCTCTGTGTCTCTGTGTGTCTCTCTCTGTATCTCTGTGTGTCTCTGTCTCTCTGTCTGTCTCTGTGTTTGTCTTTCTCTCTCTGTGTCTCTCTCTGTGTCTCTGTGTGTCGCTGTCTCTCTGTCTGTCTCTGTGTTTGTCTCTCTCTCAATGTGTGTCTCTCTGTGTCTATGTGTGTCTCTGTGTGTCTCTGTCTCCGTGTCTGTATTTCTCTCTCGTGATCGAACACTTGTAGACTCTCTCTCTCTCAGTGTCCCTGTCTCTCTCTTGAGACAGACAGATATTCTCATTCGTATTTATTTTCTTATTTTTTGGTTGGGGAAGGGATGGAGGGGGATTGCGTGTGTGTGTGTCGTACTCCGGTTAGCGCTACGTTACGCTGCGCTATGAACCTGGCGACCCGGGTTCGATTCCCGCTCAGTGATGATTATCTGAACCGGTCCTGGGCCTCCCCTAGGTCGACTCAGCCTCAAATGAGTACCTGGTGCGGTGTGTAAACATCGCCACTAGGGAGACAAAGGCGGTCGGGCGTGGTGCTGGCCACCCACCCCCTCGTGTACCGTTACCGGCCTTCATAGGTGCTCGCTAACAGCACTTGCCCCTACAGTCTGTTACAGGCTACACGGGGGATCTTTGTCTTTGATCTTTTTGTCGTACTCCCCTCCGCCACCCGACGCTCGAGCCGAACGGGAAGTTCCACTTTTTGTCATCGCTCCATCGGCACCACGCCGGTGACATCGGGGCGCGATACCCCGCACGGCACGTTCATGCGACTGCCTTGGCGGTCCGACGTTTCGCTGGTAGTCACAATCAGGAGCAGCAGCAGCCTCATGTACATCATCAGGCAAGTTGGTAGACGCGTCCTAACAACCGTTCGTTCAATGTGTTGGGCGGATCGTCATCATTATCATCAGCAGCAGCAGCCAAAGCAGTGATAGTAAAAGTCAAAGCAGATTTGTCAATATCGTCATCATCATCCGACAACCATGGTGGCTAGGAGATGTTAACTACCTCGCCTGGTGTACAGGAGGTCGTGGGTTCGCTCCCGACCCAGACGGCTGCTGCTGTATATTTGGAATTTGCGTGTCTCTCTCTCTCTCATCATCATCACCACGGTGGCTAGGAGATGTTAACTACCTCGCCTGGTGTACAGGAGTTCTAGGGCTCGATCCCGACCCTGACGCCCGCTGTATATTTCTGAGTTTGCGTCTCTCTCTCTCTCTCCCCGCGTGGTCGCTTATATTTTTCCCCCCCTCCGGGCTCCTCCTGTCTCCCCACCCACACACACACATTTAGAATCATCATCCACGCGTTCAGAGAGTTATTTGAGCTGCGAGAAAATGCCCCATGCGATAAGCCGCCGCTCCCGTTGAAGAGCGGCCGTTGCAGATGGGCCAGATCGCTTTTTGTCAAACAAGTATCTACTACACTACTACAGAGCTCAGCTGGGTGACCCCCCCCCCACTGACCTGGGTACGAATAAAACGAGCGGCAGTTTTAGTTTACCGACACTAGCGGCGGTGCTTGCCGGATTAAGTCGGCTACTTTTGTTCATAACGCGGCGACGTCGTGAATATTGTCCATGCCGGGTGGAGGAGGGGTACGCGACACACAGTTCAGTTAGAGCCACGGCGATATGACTCCATCCACCCCCCCCCCTCTTCTGCCCCCCGAACTAATAAAGACAAATTTTTCGACTAAACTTTCGTGACTACAGGAATTCATATTCTTGGTTCTTTCGGTAACGTCACGTAGATAGAAAATAATATTTTAAAAAATACAAATAAATTTTTTTTATAAAAATACATTCTAATTTCATTATTAAAATGAAAATTATTTTTTATTATTTTATTTTATTTTTGCTTTTTATTTTATGTCTACGTAACTTTACCGAAAGAACCACGAATAATAAAGAGGAGCCGAGTTTCGACGTTTTAAACAAAGTATTTATCTGGTGATAGCTGTTGCTGCTACGTTGGCAGTGGTACACAAACAACAACAACAACTCAACACGTTTAATATCTTTCGATTTAAAGCTTTCGTGACTGCAGGGATTCATCTTCTTGGTTCTTTCGGTAAAGTCACCACGAAGAAGGGAAACAAAAAAATTATAAAAATCAAACGTAATAAAATAAAATTCTCGCGACGTTTCGACAGCTCTGTTTCTTCACCTGAGGACGGCTGCTTGTGTTGTGGCCGAAACGTCGTGAGAATTGTATTTTCTTATGTTTTATTCGTATTATTTTATTACGTGACTTTATCGAAAGAATCAAGAAGACGTTCTGTATCAATAAGTACACCGCGTCTGTGTGTGTGCGCGTGTGTGTGTGTGTGCGCGTGTGGCCTTAACAGTAATATATATATTAAACATACACATGTTCAAACATACATATATCTGTTCAGTAGGTGACACTTATTTTAATGGGACTTGCTTCGGGGGTTTCGTCACCGTAACAATGATCCATACTTGTGGCTGGGGTTTCTCGCCCCACTGGGTGACATTGAGGCCTGGATTGATTGTTTCTGTGTGTATGTGTGTGTGTCTGTGTGTGTGTCTGTGTGTGTCTGTGTGTGTCTGTGTGCGTGTATGTGTGTGTCTGTGTGTGTGTGTAGTTAGTGTAGCAGTTAGCGCTACGCTGCGCTACAACCCTGGCGACCTGTGTTCGATTCCCGCTCGCGGCCAACACTGGTGACGATTATCTGAACCGGGTCCCGGGCCTCCCCTAGTTCGACTCTGTCTCAAATGAGTACCTGGTGCGGTGCGTAAAAAAACATCACCACTGGGGGAGACAAAGGCGGTCGGGCGGTGTGTTGGCCACCCACCCCCTCGTGATGCCGTGCCGGCCTTCACAGGTGCTACTCGCTAACAGCACTTGCCCCTACAGTCTGTTACAGGCTACACGGGGGATCTTTGTCTTTGTCGTTCACCCCTCACCGCCCAGCGCGATCGTCACACGGAAGCGGCCTTCATTTACTTTGTGTATCTGCTTGTGCATCGCATGCGCCAATCGATCATCGATCATCGATCGGTCGATGATCGCTGATCGATCGATCGATGTCTTGGGTTCAAGTCTGGCCGAGTTCGCGACCAGGTGAAGCTCACGGGGCGTGAGTCTGAGCTGCAGAATCGCGCCTACGTTGATGCAAAAGAAACGAAGGCTCTTCATTTGACCAGGTGAGAGCCCACCGCTGAGCTGTATGGATCGTACTCAGGAGCGACCTGGCCATCGCAAATGACAGCTCAATGGACGTAGCGCGTCATGTTCATCGTGCGGAAACGGATAGCAGCAGCCAAATGACTCTCTAAACGCGCGACGTTGATTCTGAATTCGGAGGGGGACATAACCGGAGAAAAATCCACGCGACCATGGGGAGAGAGGCACTGCAAACTCCAAATATACAGCAGCAGGCGCCAGGGTCGGGATCGAACCCACGACCGCCTGTAGACCAGGCAAGGTAGTCAACATCTCCTAGCCATCGTGATGATGATGAGAGAGAGAGAGACACGCAAACTCCAAATATACAGCAGCAGCAGGCGTCAGGGTCGGGATCGAACCCACGACCTCCTGTATACCAGGCGAGGTAGTTAACATTTCCTGTTTATGGAGCGACTTCCATCATCATCTCAACACATTTGACAGGGGCACCCCCAGTTGCAGCTCTCCCTGTGCTACGCAAGGTTGCCTCAGCACCTTGCCATTAGTCGGCCAGTACGGGGCGATGATTGCCGCTGCGTGGTCCAGCCTAGGACACCCCCAGTGGCAGCTGCCCCTGTTCGACACGAGGGTGACTTGATCAGCATCGCCACTGCCACATTCGTCACTGGCCCGCTGCCTTCTGCGTTGACTTTCACGTCACGTTGTAACCTCACCCCTGCGTAAATAATCACACAATAGGCAGCATTCACCTACAGTATCTGTTGCGCCCCGACATCAACATCATCATCATCCTCGCAGCGGCAGCGGCCGCTTTTGGCTCAGCCATCGAACAAAGACGATGGTCAACGCATCGCGCGGCGCTTTCAGACGCGCTTCTGCAGCCGTCTGGAACGCTCTTCCCTTCCGATATTAGGACGCCACTGGAGCTATGCACTCTTAAATCATCTTGATTGAAAACTCGTTTCTTTAGAACGCCTTTTGTGTTTAGTTTGTTGTCATTTCCCCCGCACCTCCGATTAGCACGGTCGGCTACGTACAAAGAAGTTCAACATACACACGTAAATAATACACCCGGGACATTGTGGGT